AGAAAATATTTTAGGAGTAAAATATATATCAAACGGATCGGGATTGTGAAAAAGGAAACAAATAACAACAAGACAGACCTAAGATGAATAGGTTTGAAAGTTTCATTCCTCCATATCCTTTTAATGTCCGAGAAAGAGTTCAAAACGATTTTCACATTCAAAATATTTCTCGGTTTTGAATTTCTACAGAAAAATGGGCGGCTTGTTAGAAACAAAAACCACTTCCGACTCATTTTTTGGAAATGTGACTTGATTCTTTCCTGTAGAAGTACCGGTAAATTGAGAAATTTTCGAATTTCTAAAATTCTAAATTGATCCGTAAAATAAACTTAAAGAAAGGACGACAACGAGTGTACACACACTCTCACACCCTTACACAAAAATAAGAAAAAAAGAAAAAAAATGAAGCGCATACTGGCAATAAACCAATCACTTTTTAGGGTCGGAATACGGCGCCTGGGTGATGTATTAAAGAACCATACAATATTATTTAAACTTTCACTGAAAAGCCAATGTTTAAGAGATGGTTTTCCGACGCCTTCACTCGTTGCCAATAATTTAATTACAATTTTACTTTTACTTACTACCACTTTCGAAGATTAGCTTCATAAAAGGAGCTGCGATATTTCAGGAATTTTAAGCGCATGCTCTTTCACCCGTAAAGCTCGCACTGAGCGTCGCGTCGCGGCGCTGGCACGAGGATAAAAACCTGATTTTTAAACGGCAATAATGAGGTTTTGATTCGATCAGATAACACCCAAACTGGCGCGACTCATCCAATACAGAATTGCCGATTGCGATTAAAAAAAACACCCGGATCGCCTTTTATTACCGGGATAATTTAACACGATGTGGTGGTGTCGATCTTGAGGACGAGCAACAAGCTCGCTCATCTCGTCGTTTCCACGAAGGAACGTAACTTTATTTCAATGTTGCCAAATTTACCCTCGGAAAAAGCACATCAACAAGGAGAATCTTAGGCATTCCTGATTGAAAATTTCACTGATTTTTCCTCAGGTTCCATGTAAAAATCAGGAAAATTTCTGACAAAAATTGTACAGGCACAACGTTGAAAAATAAATTAGTTGTTTGAGTCGACTAGGCAACCTTGGAATGAAGTTACGTTTCTTCGCGCGGGAGGCGACGATCTGTGCCAAACGTTTTGCCAGAGAAATCACGCTCTCGCTGGCCGCACTGCGGAGAACACCGGGTTTGGCAGAGATCAATATTAAAGGGGACATATATTTCCAGGAAGCTGTGAAAGCAACATAAATAGGTGAGGCAAAAGTTCATATCGGATTTAAAATATTCTCACTGGCAGCTACGATCATCCTTGCTGGATGGTGATCGGTGGACATGACACGGAGGTGTTTTCCGATCAAGTTTGTTGAGATGGATTTTGTTTGCCAAACCGATTTCTCGACATGACATTTATCAATCGTTAATATGATGCGTTTCAAATCAAATATTTTAACTTTCACACTGTAGTAGACAGATATCGTGGAATCTCTGAGGTGGTCAACTTCTTTTTCCGTCAGCGCGTGTTGTAAAAAGTATCACCTGTGTCTCTCAAGAAAGAAAATAAGAGGGTACAACCGCAATTTTAGCTCTGTGACTGTGCTCAGTCATAATTTACTTTTTTGAGGAACAATTGGACTACATTTAGCAATTTGGAACTATAAATTCTGGCTCCTCTGGAAAAACACTTATGTGCATAGGGAAACTAATGACCCATACGTCATTTTTATATCGGGCTAGAATTTATAGTTCAAAATTGCAAAATATAGTCCAATTAGAGATCGTCATTGCACAAAATACCGTTAGGGTTTTCTTGTGTCCCCTCAAGGTTTTGAGTGTGAAAATATCCAAACATTTTCTTGAAAAAGAAAACATTGCAATATACGTAAACATCTATGAGAGTTTTTTTCGTTTTATTTCCACCACATACTTTATTTAATGTGTACAGATAAAAAAAATGTAACTTTGTAATACCTACTACAAGTGAACACTCGACATAATCTTTCTGAAACGCCACGACAGCAAATACAAGAAAGAAGAGGAGGGCCCCCTACATTTCTCGGTGGCAGTATATCTTAAATTCCGGCACGTGTAAAAACATTATGGAGGGATCAATAGAGCTGAGGTCGGAGTATCTCACTGGGTTAGTGGGAGATTGATTCGCTGATAGAAACTGTGCGCAATACTTTGCGGTTCATTCATCGATGCAGAATCTTTTCTTGATTGAGCCATTGAGCGAAAGTCGATTCGATGAAAAAGATCGAGCGTAAAGATGATTAAAGGTTCTGCTACAGCACGTGATTCTAATGGCCGTTCTGTCGCAAGCGGCTGATCGCGATCGCGGGCAAGGGTCGCATCGCGCCGCACGATTCGCGCTTGCTTGGATCCCGAGTTCTGGCGGAACGGAACATCGTGCGCCTTCATCCACGGAGGATACTACAATGCAAACTCGAGTGTCTTCGCATCGAAACAGTCAACTGACTGTCTCATCTTCTTCCTGTCTGCTCCTGTTCTTTCTGAACATAGAAGTGAAGGAAAAGGGGGTACTTCGATCAGAACTTAACACGTCTGACGTATCGAGGTTGATGGTTAAACAAATAACTTTAAAATGGTAAATTTAAAAGTTGGTGCACGGTTGATAAGATAAATTGTAATAGTTGGTGACTCATTTAACATCCCTTTGACATGAATTCAATTTTCAACGTTATCCTTGCAATGTACAAAATAAAAAAAGAACAAAGAAACCAAATTTAAGAATCTTGTGAGGATACACACTGGGTGAGTTTTACTTCCCGACTCGTTTTCGGGCTCAAAAGGAGACAGAAAACTACATTTAATCTCAGTTTACGACTGAACCTGCACAAAATGAAACAAGCCTGAATGGTAAAAAAAGCGTAAGGGAGTGATAGAATCATATCTAGTTTCAGTTGAACTATAAATACGGGTTTTTTCATCTCTTAAACCCATCTTTTCGAAAATCTAGGGCAAAAAAGAGAACGAAACTTATTTAACGATGAAACAGTTGCTGATTACAAAGATCATAATCCCCCCCCCCTCCTCCTTCTTCTATTTTCACGGCTCCAAACATCAAACGGGTGAATGAGCGTTTAAAGATTCTAAGTTGAAAAGGGCACGCACAGTCGCACAGAGCACATTGCACGCTGCACTGATATTGTTTTCAGTAAGCTAGAGTGCTACATGGTTCGGCGACTTGGTCACATGCACATCGGACTTTTCAGTTAACGGAAACAAGAATGAGGATACATGTTGCGGCTATTTCTTACGGCCGAAAGTGCGAAGAGAGCCATGTGCGAGTGGCATACGCTGCCTGAGCAATAACCATGAGAATTGGTTACTTTTCAGCTGAAGATATTTGTACGTTTTCCGGAAAGATTACTCGCACAATATCATTGTCAGGACAGTGTTGCCGTCGCCTACTCATAAAACATCAAGGGTTAGAGACTTTGAAAAAATTTGGTAATTTATGTTGAGTTCATGATTACCGAGATACCCGGTGATGACATTGGATGTCACCGAGATATCTGACATCGAGGACTTTTTCGGTAAAAAATAATTAATTTTCTGCGTTTTCTGTAATTTTTTAAACAAATCCAGGGGACCCTTCAAATACAGATCAAGATGTATATCAAGGCCTCATGAAAAATCATTTCTTTACTTTTCTACGTTTTCCTGATTTAAATAACGATAATTTTCCAAGCAACCAAACATTTACAAGCAAGGATAAAAAATCCATCACTCATAAGAAAATGAAACTGAGAATCCTCACTTTTCCTTTAAACATAGAAAATACTAGAACTAACTGAAATCTTCAGAGTAATGCTTTCCCGAAAATATTATAGGCTTCCCCAATATATTTTCTATTAATATTAATCTGCTTACCCTAATATTCCGGTTTGAATTTTTCCTCTTAACAAAAGCCGATTCTCAAGGTCAGAAAGCCCTAAGAACGATCCTAAAATAGCCATTTACCCTTAAGTGTTTTAATCACGTTTTGTACCATTTTTACTTCATCTCTTGTGGTGCGCTTAAAAACCCTTTCCTGCAAATGTAACGCTGTATTTCCCCCAAAATGATCTAAAAATTTAGTTCAATCGACTTCCATTGCTGTAAGACATTTCATAGAACATTCGGTGACACGAATCAATTACTACGAGAACTTTCAACTGCTTTGACGAGTTTCCTATCACTTTTTCCTGGTGGAATGGACACTTCAAAGAAAAGAAATGAATCAATCGAATCATTTTACGTCCCTATACCGATGCCCCAGTTTCAGCCCTTTGCTAAAATTCAAGGAATAAGCGCAGAAATTCATCCTTGATCGCGTTCACGATTGCAACGGGGAAAATTGGACGTATTTCTACCAAACAGACCTATGTGTAAGTGAGAAATATGGGGTATGCTCGTTAGTTCTCTTTGCGTAGGAGTGAATGTAATAATAAAGCGCCAGTGACGTCAGCGGCAATGATCGAGCTGGGGAGCGAGGAGCGCGATCTTCGTCTGGGCGCTTTAACTCATGAGCCCTGTCCACAACGCTCTTTTGCCATGCCCGCGGCTCATGACTGCCGCATTCAGTTGGCACATAGGTCTGTTTGATAGAATGCAATATCCCGCTTTTCCAATTCTTCAAAAGGAACCACGCCCACTTTTACATTGTTTCTTATACAGATTTCTAGAGCACACCCCATATTTCTCACCTCCACATAGGTCTGTTCGATAGAAATACGTCCAATTACTACGAGAACTTACGACTGTTTTGACGAGTTTCCTATCACTTTCTCCTGGTGAATGGACACTTTAAAGAAAAGAAATGAATCATTTTACGTCCCTATACCGATGCCCCAGTTTCATCCCTTCACTAAAAATCGAGGAACAAGCGCAGAAATTCATCCCTCGATCGCGTTCACGATTGCAACGGGGAAACTTGCGGACAGTGTGAGAAAGAGAAGAGAAAATCCACTTACTTGAACTTTTTCCAAGTACTGTTCGAGCTCGCGATATGGGTCCGTGCCGGAGATGACCCCAGCGGCACGTTCGTCCAAACGCATGCCCGATTCCCCTTCTCCAGACATCACCGTAACATCATGGCTGCAACAAAAACAAAAATGCAGTTACATCACATGCACAGATTTCATCACAACAAACAGTAATTGAGATAGCAAATCGTCATGCCAAATCTACCGATTTGCCCGCTTCTAGGCCTTGATCTTGGCGAGGAGACGGGTAACTTCATCACGGGAGAGTACAGTCAACTCGGAGGGTATGCATTCGATCGACATGAATCGATCGAAAATGAAAATGTGGATCGATCGACTAATAATTATTAAAACCCAGTGCCGAATCGGTCGAAAAGTCAAAACGTGAACCCATCGACAAACTCGAAAATCGATCGACTCCTCCATGAATCGATCGACAAACCCGTGAATCGATCGAACTTTGTCGATCTGTTCGCGGTTGAACTTTTCGATCGATTCATGTCGATCAAATCGACACCGATTTTATAATGGTTTTTTGATCGAATCGAGCAAATCGATTCACGTTTTTATCTTTCGATCGATTCATGTCGAAAGAATCCATACCTTCCGGTAACATCCAGTCTTTCATCGAAATTCACAACCGGAATGTAAATTTATTTTCGTTCTCAGAAGAAGAGAGATTTGGACGTATTTCTATCAAACAGACCTATGTGGAGGTGAGAAATATGGGGTGTGCTCTAGGAAGCTGCATAAGAAGCAATGTAAAAGTGGACGTGATTCCTTTTAAGAATTGGAAAAGCGGGATTTTACATTCTACCAAACAGACCTATGTGCCAACTGAATGCGGAACTCATGAGCCGCGGGCAAGGCAAGAGAGCGTTGTGAAGAGGGCTCATGAGTTTATGCGGAGGCGGGCGGACGGGAGCGGCGGAGGCGGGCGGCTTCGTTGCCGCTGACGTCACTGGCGCACAATTATTCTCATTCACTCTTACGCAAAGAGAACTAACGAGCACACCCCATATTTCTCACCTCCACATAGGTCTGTTTGGTAGAAATACGTCCAAATCCACCGAGTTGCCCGCTTCTAGGCCTTGATCTTGGCGAGGAGACGGGTAACACCATCACGGGAGAGTACAATCAATTCGGAGGGTACACTGGAAAAAAAACCACATTGGATCTTGAGTCCAGACTCTTGAAAGATTGACAAAAAAAAGGACTCTTGATTCAATCAGATTGACGCTTAAATAAAAAGGAAATCCGCTCAAATTAAGAGGCTTGGTTCTTGATTTAAGCTTAAATCCGATTGAATCAAGAGTATTTTTTCTTGTCGATGTTTTTAAGAGTCTGGACTCTAGATCCAATGTTTTTTTTTTCCAGTTTATGCATTCGATCGACATGAATCGATCGAAAAATGAAAATGTGGATAGATCGATTAATTATTAAAACCCGGTGCCGAATCGATCGAAAAGTCAAAACGTGAACCGATCGATGTGATTCGATCGACAAACTCGAGAATCGATCGACATCTTCATGAATCGATCGCCAAACCCTCGAACCAATCGAACTTTGTCGATCTGTTCGCGGTTGAACTTTTCAAGTTGATCAAATCGACACTGGGTTTATAATGGTTTGTTGATCGAATCGAGCCAATCGATTGAGGTTTTCATTTTTCGATCGATTCATATCAAACGAATCCATACCTTCCAGTAACATCCAGTCTTTTATCAAAATTCACGACCGGAATGTAAATTAATTTTCGTTCACGGTAGAAGAGAGATTTTATTTTGATACATGAAAAAAACTGACAAGAGAAAAAGCAGGATCCCGAGTTAGTAACAATCTGGAGTCTGTTTACACATTTTAAAGGCCGCCGTTGAAAAGGTCTTACACTATCTTCCTTGACTTCAAGACATAGCACATGTCGGCTGTTAATTTGCTAATTGATCGGTGGCGAGGCGTGAATGATCGATTATCAATATTTCTCCATTTTTATAATAAATAATCGATAATTAGATGTTCATTGCAAACGACCTGTAGATCAATCCATTTCCATGGGTTTAAATAGCGGATCAATCGGTAAATCGCAAAGCATGCCACGCCACTGTAAATTGACGTCATTTCTCAGAATCAGATTACGGTTTCCTGAAACATTCGCTCCCATATAGTTACTCATCCGTAGAGAATTTTCTGGGTACCAACTTATCAATGAACTTGAAAAAACTGAATGGACTACGTTGGAGTTTTCGGCATTAAAATTCTGAGAAAAATTATTACTAACCAATAGAGATCTTTACTACTGCAAGGAAAGACAGGATGGGGAGGGGGACATTGGTCTTGAAAACATTGAAATCCACGCACACCAAGAATAATCCGCGCCCAAACACTCGACGTATCTTCGTTCAACAAGATAAGCATTATCTTGGCGCGATTTTTTTCTTCAATGAATAATTTTTACTACGAGGAGGAATTAACAGGCAAAGACGTACACAAGTCATTGCACAATCGTGCTAACTTTCGGACTGAAAACGACAGCGAGGATGGATTCCAGACAGTGGCGTGGCGTGAATTGCGATGTATCGATTGTTACGCCATTTAAACCTAGGGTAAAGAATCGATTTTTAAGGTGTTTGCTGCGAACACCCTGTTCATCGATCCTTTTCCATAGGTTTAAATGACAGATCAATCGATATATCGCAAAGCACACCTGGCCACTGATTCCAGAGCGAACATGAGTTCCACTTGGCTCTCGTCTTCGTGCTAAAATGCCCATTATATAACAACGTCCAAGTACCATGAATGAAAATGTGCACACAAAATTTGACCTTTAGCTTTCGGGAAGAAATTAATGCGTCAATTAGTACACTAGAACTCTTATAATCCATTTTCAACTGTTAAAGCTATGAGCATTGTCATAAAAGCTCAGTTTTTCATGATAACCAACTTTGAAGTAACTTCTCGTACTTGTAAAAAAAACTTCTGAACTCCATGTG